TGTCGTTTTTGATTGCTTCCATTGTCCTCATTTGTAAGTCACTTTGGATAAAAGCATCTGCTAAAAGACTAAATGTAATGTAATGTAAAACTGATGTGTGATTAATTTGTGATTAATTGGATCTAGAATTAGATTAATTAGCATCTAGTTGCTACATCATGGTGTTACAGATGATTTTGAATATAAACAGACCTCCTCAAATAAATTTTACATGTGGTTATGTATTTTTGTGTCTTGGATTGACTCTATGTATACAGGCAGAGGAAGACAAGTTGAGCTAGAATCCTAGTAGTGTCCCTGGAACATATTTTGTCTTTAAAATACAACCTTGTAAATAGGATTTTTTAAGGATGAAAATTTATTTGCAACAATTAATGCAATGAGTCCAGACTCGACTCGGACTCGTGATGAAAGACTCCAGACTTGACTCTGAATCCATGCTTAAAGACTCCAGACTTGACTTCGGACTCCAGCTTACAGAGTTCAGACTTGACTTCGGACTCCAGTTTACAGAGTTCAGACTTGCCTTGGACTTCAGATGAAAGACTTGTGGACATGTCTGATTAGTAACCTCAAGAAAAGGCCTGACTACAGATGTTATTGTAAATGTGTCTACCAGCAGAGGGCGTGAAAGGTAATGCTTTCTTACTTTTCTCTTCCTGTGAACACAGTTAATTACTAATAATTGTTGACACATTCCTCTTAATGACATTTCTGAAGCCAACATCAGAAAGCAGTGATGAGACAGTCACTCTCTTAATTCCACACTTTATATTAACCATTATGTTCTGCTTGGGTCCCAGAGCCTCTTTAAGTAATGAAAAACATATGTCTTTATTTTTGCATTGCTACATTTTATGGAAAGACCTTCATTACACCTGAATATGCGAAAGCATCAGAAAACTCACACTACAGAAAGACCGTTCACCTGCTCTCAATGTGGACTGAGTTTCAAAGGAAAAGGCCACCTTGTGACACATGAAAGAATTCACACTGGAGAGAAACCGCACACGAGCCATCAGTGTGGGAAGAGCTTCATACAGTCATCAGGACTCACTTATCATATGCGGCATCACTCTGGAGAGAAAACATTTAAGTGTGATCAGTGTGGGAAGAATTTAACCTCATTAGCAAATCTAAAAAAAACACCTGACACTTCATATGAATGAGAAGCCCCATAAATGCTCTTTGTGTGGAAAGAGTTTTCCACGGTTGGACTCTTTGAAACAGCACCTAAAGATCCATGATGCTGTGCGGGATCACATGTGTTTTGAGTGTGGCAAGAGCTTTACAGCAGCTATCCATCTGAAGCAGCACCACAGGATTCATAATGATGAAAAAACGTTCAGCTGCCCGCAGTGTGGAAGGAGTTTCACACAAAAAGGCCACTTAAATAAGCACATCCAAACACATGATGGAGAGGAACCTCAAGCATCAGCTCTCAATCATCTGCTTAAATTTAAAGATTTGAAATACATGTATAAGCAAAACAAATGAAAAAAATATATATAATATGTCTCGAAAACCAGCACAGGCTATTTACTTCCAGACCAACCGCACTAGTGCAATATTGCTTTTACAACAGTTTAATAAAAATGTTTAGTAGCATAAGTTTTATATTCAGGGATGAGAGATCCTCAAGACTCTCACTCAAAATATACACAAACTGACAAGGACTGGAAGTTGTGAAAGATGAATACATGATCATCTAAAGCATTTAGTCTAATTAATAATGATTCATGTGATCCAAACTTTAAAAAAAACAACAACAATGAAAACAAAAATATGAGTTAAATAAGGTGAAACTCAAAAAGATTTAATAATTTTGAGTAGGTGATTAAATCAAAGTACTAAAAGTGAAAAAAATAAAATAAAATCCACAAACAAGTATTTCATCCACACTCTCTGCCCAATGACCTCCATAGTATTTTATTTTTTCAATACTGATGGAAATATCAAAATATCTTCTTTTATGCTCAGCAGATGAAAGAAACTCATATAGGTTTGGAACAACTTGAGGGTGAGTAAATGATGACAGAATTGTTATTTTTTTTATGTACTATCCCTTTAAGTGTGTCAACTTTTAAGAATGCCAATTTTGTTCTTAATCCTTACAATTAAGAATAGGCTTACATGTCACTACTAATGTTCATGTGTGTTAGACTATATCATAGCTCTCCAGGATTAAAAGAGCTGGAGATGTTTCCTAATAGTTGCTGATTCTGAGGTTGCATGACTTGATTCATTTACAGTTTTTCTCATTTGCTTTGGCTCATTTCTCAAATGAAATGTTTTCCCCCTGAAACAATAAGTTCAGATCTCTGAACAATTAGCTTCTTGTTCACATCAGATTGGAATTTCTTATTGATTTGAGCAAATTGCAAATGCTTTGGCACGTGTGCAAACAGTAAGTACAATTGTCTGCAGTTTGCACAACAACTAATTGCATATGGCTTGTTGATCAAAACTGATGAGCCGATTCTCACTTAAACTGTCAAACTCTTCACAACTTCTCAATCATTTTTCATTGTGTAAGCCATCACATTCAAAACGATCCATTCAATTATGAAAAACTGGTATACACGCATGTATATTCCATAAATATCTGACATTGACATTGTTTGTAATGTCTGCTAAATTGGCAAATGACCTCTAATTGCAATACAATTTGAATCAAC